CGGACATCTTATCAGTTAATACACTAGCAATAATTTGCTTGTCTTTTAAATTTCGACAAAGTGCCTCAGATATTGTTGTTTGCTTTAGCGAAACTTTTTCTGCTTTTACATGTTGCTGATGTGCATGCTTTATCTTAGACCAGAGGCACTGACAATGGTTACGAATCTGCTTTACAATAGAAGAACTGATTGCAAAAAATGCCCATAAAGTGAATTGCTTCCATGCTAAATCAGAATTTTTATTTGTAGGTTTGGTGTGATCAAAAATTTCTGATTCTAGTAAATCAATAAATTCGCAGATATTTGAAAGGTAGTTAAAATGGGATGAATAATTTGTGTGGTTTGGAGTGGTAGTGATCTTTCTGAATTGTATAATTCGCTCCAAATATTTTCTAGGTCAAATTTGGAAAAAGCATCATATTTAAGGGAAAAGGTGTTTTGCTTTACAGCATCCAATAGAAGCAATTCTTGGTCCAGTAGCATCTTAATAACTTCTCGTTGCCATCTTCTTTCTGCAAATTTTTTGAAAAAGGTGATCTTTGGATCTATTAAAAAAATGGATTGCAAATCATTCTTTGACTTAAGATCGCTCACTATGAAATCTTCGGATTTCCAGTAAGATAGAATATATTTACGTGATTTGCTCTTAGATAGACAGGACTCGCTTTGAGTCTTGTGCTAGAAAATATATATTCAAAAAACCAGTAAATTGATATACAAAAAATACTTTATGTTAAATAGTAATAAAATCTTCTCAGTGGATACATTTGAATCACTCTCAGTGGTGTGGTTTGGGGGGTTTAAAACCCATGAAGTTTGTGTCACTTTCCTTTTCACACACGCTCTACTTCAAGGATGACGATCATGCCCGAGATGAAAAAATAACTTTATATAGGGAGGGAATACTCAGATCCTAGGCCTGCCTCGAAAGGCGAAAAGTACTCCTAAGAAGACTATACTATAAAACTAAATGTAATAAAAGATATTTAATCTACTTTTAAAGGATCGTAAAATATGTTCGTGCTTTCTTCGATATGATTAGCATTAGAATTGGAAATACCCTCTCCGACGATCGAGCTATCAGATTTTTCAATCTTAGCTTTTTTTATGGTGCGTAGTTTTTTCTTACGCAAATTTCTCTTGGAGGCCTTCGACATAGTGGGTGTATTTTGTAGCAACATAATGTTGACACAAGTAT